AACTTTTATGTTGTCTCCTTCCTCTGTTGTCTGTGAGCTACATTTTCTTTTAAAGAAATTTTAAAAAAACCCTAAAGGCAGGAACCTACAGCACACAGTGGGGTTCCCTCGACTTGTTCATCTCCCAGCCTGCCTACACCCCAGCTGTGTCAACGCTGGAGTTTTGGCTCCACATTAAGTGTCATCTCAACAGTGGTGACCATTGGGGAACCCTGGCCAGGACTAAGGGGCAGATGTGTCTTCTTCCAGTCCCGGCTCCTGCGTCTTGACTGGCCGGTGTCCCTGGGCATGTCTGTTTCATCCTTCACCCTGTCCGTCTCCTGAGACCCTTTCTCCGACTCTCAAGGGCCCGTGCACCAGTCTGCTCCCACCCACGATTCTTGGAGGGCTGCAGGGGTGGGTGGTAGATGTTTGAGTCCCAGGCTCTCCTCGTCCCTCCGCGGTCTCACCTTTGGCTACCTGCGGCTGTCACTGCACCCCTCGCAAAGCCAGCCTATGGACACACATCGCTGCATGGGCCTTTCCCGCCCACGCTGGGGAAGGAAACGTCAGGCCCAGATGGATGTGGTGCCGGCCGTAGGCTGGGAGGTGGCCCTAAGCCAGGCGTGGTGGAAGTTTCCTTACCCAGAACCACCCGGGCTCTGCTGTCCAAGTGGAGAGTTGGAGGATTTGGCCATTTGTGCCTCATCTCAGCTTTTCCTGCCGTGTAATCTGAGTGGATTTAGAGCTGTTTGGGAGAGAGCCATCGTACACGTGTCTGCCCCCAAATGCTCCTGGCATGGCGTTGGGTCCGTTATAGAGAGAGCTTAAACCTTGATTTGCTTCCTGTAACTTTATTAGAGAAAAATGAGGAGCTGCCTTTAAACGAACTCAGTCATTGGCCCTTGGAAGTTGCTTCAACTTTGATGTTCAGCAATTTCAGGAAATGTCTGGTTCAAAACCCTGTGCGTCCTCCCTAACCCCTCAACCGAATGGCCTCTTCGTTATAAACTATCTCAAAGTGCTCGAATTGGGGAGGTAAGAATAGACTCAAGGGAGATATGAATTCATCTAAATGAGATGTATTAGCAAATCTACCAACACGAGAAAAGAAAATAACTTTCGTGCTATGATATATCTGAATGAAATAACTTCAACTAGGATTTCCTAAGGACGTGTTGGACACTGTGTTTCCTATTAAGGCACACAGCAAATGAACCTCTTTCCTGGAAGCTTAGGTATAGTTCAGAGGTTCTATTTTAGCACATCTTCTTACACAAATATATAAGAATTATGAGAAAGTAATCAAGTAATACCTTGGAAAAACCATTTGATAATCATTTAGGATGGGCCGTACTGTGAGTGTTTTGGCTTTAAAAATGAAGTTTCCTTCCTTGCTATTCCAAACTCTCTGTAACTTTCCTTGGGTTATTTTTCAGACTGGCAGGCTGCTATATTTTAAATTTATGAGGACTTTCTATGCCATTCACACATGGCCTTTCATGCAGTCTTCCCAGGAGAGGCAGAGACAGGAAAATTGTATGACTAGAACTCATTACTATCATGCTAATTAGTATTATTATCATGCTTGCTATTGTTATTGAGGAAAACCAATGTGAAATATCTTACCCAAAATCGTACAGAAATGACAAGTTCTAGATTAAATTTCCTTCCTCTCTTTTTGGATGAATAAAGGAAAATCTATTTTTCATAACAAGAATTGGATTTGGTCAAAGTTCACATTAACACAAATAAAAACCATGGTATGTGGTTAAATGCTTGCAGAGATCATTTTCAACTCAGTAAGATTGAACCATCTATTAATTTACTGAATATTACAAACTGAGGTCACCATGACCACAAGAATTCTAGACACTTTCCCAGGAGGCATTATCTTTCAGCTCAACAAATTTCATTAGAATTCATTAAAAATGAAATAGATCCACATTTTAAAATAAAATGATCGAATGTCATTTAGTAAAATGCATTGCTGCCTTTTCATGGCTGTTTTTCCCTGACAAGATAGGTGCGTAGGTTTGCTATGTTGTACCTTTTCAAGGTAGAGGTGACTAAAAACCTGCCATATGAGAAAAAATATTAGAAAGGTAAAAAAACCCAGGAAGACATAAGGATATTTTCTAAAGACGTAAATGGTTATTAGATGACTAATTCTTAAGTGTTCTGTGGGAAAGCTTTATATATGGGATGCTATGGATTGAATTAAAAGGCATATGTTGAAGTCCTCACCTAAAGGACCTCAGAGTGTGAGCTTATTTGGAAATAGAGTCACTGCAGATGTGATTAGTTAAGATGAAGTCACACTGGAGTGGGGTGGGCCCCCAAACCAATAAGCCTGATGTCCTTAGAAGACGGCCACGTGAAGACAGAGAGGTGCAGGGAGAGCACACGTGAAGACGGAGGCAGGGAGTGGAATGATGCATCTATCAGCCAAGAAACGCCAAGGACGCCGGGGCAGCCACTGGGAGCTGGGAGAGAGGCCTGGAACAGATTACCCCTCAGCCCTCAGAAGAAACCAACCCTGCTGATACCTTGATTTCAGGCCTCCAGAACTGTGGCAGAATAAATTTCTGTTGTTTTGAGCCACCCAGTTTGTGGCACTTTGCTATGGCAGCCCTGGGAAACTTCTACAGAGACCTAGCTGAACACAGCACAGAGACTTTTAGAAAAAACTACTCATGGCTGAATAAGAGAAGTGGATCCCCTTCCAGAACAGGCATGTTCTGGTGGCTTCACCTTTGTCATTGAAAAAAATAAAGCAGTGGTTAGCTTCAGGTCCCAAAATGTGAAGGACAAAATCCAAGGAGCAGGTCGAGGACATGGAGAGGGAAGAATCTGGAAAACCCCCTGTAGATCTGAAAAGTCAAGAGCAAACACTGTAAGTAACCCAGACAGTAATCAAATGACCCAGCTTCTCCAGATTTAAAAAACGTGTGAATGCACTTAGCCCACAAAGAGTGTGCAGGGCTCATTTCTCTAGTTTGTGTGTGGTGGGCTGGGCTGCACCCAGCTTGGTGACTGACCTTTTCAGGCTGGTTGTCTGGTTCTTAAATTCTTAAATCAACACGCCTTGGTTTCATAGACCATAAAAACCCAAATTTGGGTTGCAGGCCAGGTTTGGATAAGGTGACTCAGAAGGCCAGTGAGGCTTTACCTTGGAAATCCAGTGGAGCTCAGTGGGACCTCGCTTTAGTGAGGACTTAACATTGAACAGAAAAAAAGAAAACCCCAAAACAAGGAATAGGACATTGTCACAGCTGGGGAGGAAACCTCCATGGATAAGACAACTATTCTGTGAATTTCGTAAGCCTCCTAAAATTATTTATTTGAGCATTGAACTGGGAATATATTACAGTGGTTAAAATGTGGTGTCAAATGAAAACATAAGGCTAAGATTTACTAACGCTAAACAAAATACTATGAAACACGATGTTTAAAGGTCATTCTCGGTGCTGGGACAACTGGATAGCCACACGCAGAAGAATGAAACCACTCACAAAAATTAATTCAAGATGAATAAAAGACATAAATGTAAGACATGAAACCATAAGAATTCTAGAAGAAAATGTCAGAAAAACTGTTCTAGATGTCAGCCTAGGCAAAGAATTTATGAAGAAGACCCCAGTGACAATCAAGGCAACAACAAAAATAAATAAATGAGACTTGATTAAATTAAAAAGCTTCTTCACTGCCAAGGAAATAATCAACAAAGTAAATAGACAACCTACAGAATGGGAGAAAATATTTACAAGCTACACATCTGATAAAGGGCTAATAACCAGAATCTACAAAGAACTCAAGCAAACCAGCAAGAAAAAAAATTCAAACAACCTTGTTAAAAAGTGGGCAAAAAACATGAACAGAAGCTTTTCAGAAGAAGATAGACTAATGGCCAATAAACATATGAAAAAATGCTCAACGTCAGTAACCATCAGGGAAATGCAAATTAAAACCACAATGTGATATCACCTTACCCCAGTTAGAATGACTTTTATTAAAAAGTCCAAAAACAATAGATGCTGGTGTGGATGCAGAGAGAAAGGAAATTTTTAATTTTTTCTAGGTGCGGGGTCTCACTATATTGCCCAGGCTGGTCCCAGCATTTATTTAAATTCTTAAACAAATCTCAATATTCATTGCTGTCATCCTTATTTACAGATGGGAAAATTGAGGCTTAGAGATGTTAAAGTAACATGTCCAAGGTCACATTTGGGCTGAATCAGGGAGACCACCTAGGAGGCTCCCATAATCATCCAGGTCCAAGATGCTGGGAGACTAGGCAGGGTGGTGGTGATAAAGGTGGGTGCTGAGAAGAGATCAGTTTCTGGTTACATTTGGAAGGTGAAACTGACAGGATTTGCTGATGGTTTAGCTGTAGGGTGTGACAGACAGTGCCCAAGGTTATTGTCTTGGGTAACTGGAGGAATGGAGTTGCCATTTGCTGAAAGAGTGAAGAGGATGGGAAGTGTGAGGGTCTGGGTTTGGAGGGTTTGATGGTCAATTTTATGTGTCAACTTGGCTGGGCTATAGGCTGCCCAGATATGTGGTCAAACATTATTCATTGTGTTCCTATGAGGTTAGTTTTTGGATAAGATTAATATTTAAATCAGTAGACTTTGAGTACTGACCCACTCAATTGAAGGCCTGAATAGAACAAAAAGGCTTAGTCTTATCTCAGGTTGCCATAACACAATACCATAGACTTGGCGGCTTAAACTACAGAAATTTCTTTTCTCACAATTCTGGAGGCTGCAAAGTCCAAGATCAAGATTCTGGCTGATTTGGTTCCTGGTAAGGACACATGTGACCTCATCTTTGTGTGTGCACAGAGAGAAATCTTTCTTTTTTCCTTTTCTTATAAGGCCACTAATCCCATCACGAAGGCCTCACCCTCATGACCTCATCTAACCCTAATTACCTCCCAAAGGCCCCATTTCCAAATACTATTAATATTATATTGGGAGCTAGGGCTTCCACATATGAATTCTGGGAGGATACAAACATTCAGTCCCTAACATCCGTCCTCCCCTGAGCAAGAAAGGTTTCTCCAGGGGATTGTCTTTGGGCTTTATTTGCAACATCAGCCCTCCTTGGTTCTATAGCAGATGCCTTCCCACTGGGGCCACAGCATTGTATCTCCTGGGTCTCCAGCCTGCTGGCCCACCCTGCAGATTTCAGACTTGCCAGTCCCCGCAATCACGTGAGCCAATTCCTCATAACAAGTCTCCTTCTCTATATATGCACAGCCTATTGGTTCTGTTTCTCTGGAGGACCCTGACAAATACAGAGGATGCCAGGCAGACACGAGGAGTTTTGTTCTGGACGTGCTGGTTTGGAGGTGACTGTCCCCACCCAGCTGAGGGTGACCACAGCTGGATAAGTAAGTGCAGAGTTCAGGGACTCCACAGCACAGAGATGGGGTTGGAAGCCATGAGACTGGATGGAGGCCCCTAGGGAGTGAGTGTGGACACAGAAGAGCAGGGGCCGGAGGGCTGACCCAGGAGCCCTCCCGAACCGCAGATGGGGCCTGAGGAGGAGGCAGCCGTGGGGTATAAGGCGTGGCCAGGAGCTAGGAATCAACCCAGAGGAGGCTGGTGAGTGAGGACGGGGCTCCACGTTGGAGAGGGCAAGTGATCAGATAAATCAAGTCACCCAGCATTGAGCAATGGTCATTGATATAGCCACATGAAGGAAACCGGAGACTTGGACGAGTGCAGTTTTGGTGGAGTGACTGGAGTGGGCTCAAGAGAGAATAGGGACAGAGGGACGGGAGAGAATGAGCCCAGGGAATCTTTCAAGGACTTGGACCATCAAAGGGAAGTAGGCAATGAGGCAACAGTTGTAGGACAGGGCCCAGGGCCCACTGAATTCAGGGTATCTGTCAACTCAGATAGGAAAAAAGTAACATTTTTTATTTCACCGACAACTAGCATTTCCTCAACCACGAGCACAGGCAGCCACCTCCAGCAGTTTGATTGGTGCCCGTGACTTAATCAGCAATAGAAATCACCGACGGTTTGCATCACATTGCAAGTGCTGCAGATACCCGGAAAGAGCATTTGCCATTGTCACTATTTCAAATGGTGGCTATAAGACCCCTGCTAGATCTCGTCATGTGACGCGTTACTATGGAAGCCCACGCATTCCTATGGACAGAATTGCTTTAAAATAGTTTGGTGACTGCATTTCACCAAACGGGCTTCCTTTATTATCCTGTATATTGTTTTATACATTTGAAGCATTGTGTTGAGAAGAGATACACAGATTTCACCAGATTTGCCAAAGGAATCCAAGGCAGAACAAATAACCCCTCCAAACAATGACATCAACAACAAAAAACAAAACCAAAATGGTTAGGACCCTCTGCCAGTGGATGTGTTTTGTTTTGTTGTTGTTTTGAAGGTGACCTTGAAGCATGTTTGTATGCCTTCGGAAATGATCTGGTGAGAAGGGAAGCCTTGACGATGTTGAAGAGATGTCCCTGTGTAGGGCAGCAGGGGCCTGGTGCCCACGTGGCGAGACCAGCCCAGACTGGAGGGCACACAGCTCAATTCAGAATGGTGGCAGGTGGCTGCAGGGGCCTGGGACGTGGGCATTAGTGGATGTTCTCAGCTTGCTCAATTTTCTCAGAGAAATAGGAAGCAAGATGACGTCTCGAGAAGGAAGATGGGGAGGAGGTGCTGGAGGTTTGAGCACAGGGGAGCCGGCCACGGTCATCCAGGAGAACGAGGGCAGGACCAGACAAGGGCAAGTGGGCCGGGGCTGGTCAGCGCCCAGTGCCATATGGGCAAGTGGTCCTGCCAGTTCCCCGACACCACCTGGCCACACAGCCTTCTCCAGTGGGGGCGGCTGCTCTGAACGGGTCCCCAGGGGACAGAGGGCTGGACTGGACCCAGTGGGGGTTTTTCTAAAGGAAAATGAAGGCAGAGGGGGCAAGGGAGAGGAGCATTTGCACAAAGGAGTGAATGCAAAGCTGGGAAGGAGAGAAATGAGGACACAAAGGGGGCAAGGACGGAGCTCAGGTGGTGGGATCAGTCGATGGCAGGTTCCAGGAGGCTGGAGGACATTGGGCCGCTCCCCGGGAGGAGTACGCTGCAAGACAGGAGACGGTGTGGTCGGGAGGCTGACGGCAAGTGCAGAGCAGGACTCCTCTGTGGGCAGGACCCCAGGAGGTGGGAGAAAGGCGGGGAGGAGAGGAGTGGGGTAGGAACCACCAGGAAGCGCTCAGGACAACTTGCCACCCAGCCATTTCAGCCACTGTGGGAGAGGTCACGTTTCCCTGCTTACAGTTGAATTTCTGCCTGTGAAAGTGGGGGAAAAATATCTAGGGCTAGAGAGAGAAGCAGAGGCGTGCATGCCCCCCAATCCTCTTCCTGCTCATGCAGGAACTATGATCTTAGCTCCCGGCCTCAGTCTTTGTTCTGCCTTTGTGTCTTCGCTCGCAGGACTGCCAGGTGGAACACATCTTGTTCCCAGAACTTAGCCTTCAACGTCTATTGTCACGCGCCATCCACTTTCCAGCCACCCGACACCCTAATGAAGAACGGTAGCTTTCCACTGTGAGGACGGGGTTCAAGACAGTCCTGGGGGGTGGGGAGGTTATATCTGTGCTGAGAGAGAGGCACATAGTGCGTAACTGACACGCGCTACCCCAGGCAGCTGGACAGAGGAAATCAGTTGCGGTTTGGTTTCCTTACTTTTCTCTTCTCTTTCGCTCACCCTTGTGGGGCCTGTCCTGCCTGGGAAGGGCCCTCCAGCCTGGGGGCTCCTCTGCTCTGGTTTCGCCCCTCAGCTGCCCCAGCTCTGTGTATTCCAGACACGTAACCTGAATCACGGGCTTCCCACCTTCCTGCGCATCCCTGGAGAGCTTTGAACAGACCCCGATGTGCTGGTCGCCCCCAGAGAGTCAGACTCATTGACTGGGGTGGGGTCCTCAAGTGGGAACTTCTGAGCCTCCCTCCCCCACCAGGCGATTGGGATGTGCAGACAGGTTTGAGAGGCACGGTCTGAATGGATGGGACTTTTAAAGGTCCTATCGGGAGACTTAGAGTTTGAAACTGTTTAGCAAAGAGTTACAGTACAAATGTCTGTTCTCTGGGCCGGCCTGCTGACTGCGGGCTCTCTCTGGGCTCTCCTGAGATGGGGACAATTGTGCCCCGCCTGTCCCCTGAATAGTGTCTGATCTACCTTGGCTTTGGCTCTCACATGTCCTCCCTCTGAGACCCTCTTCTCTGCCTACAGTCTTACCTGAGCTCTTCCCCTTCCTTGACTCTGCACCCGCAGCCACCCCAGCTAGAAAGGGTTCGTTTCCTTATTGCCTCACTGCCGTCCTGCTCCCACCCTCCGAGCGCCCCATGGAAACCTGTTCTTGCCACTCGAGTCCTGGTCCTGCCACCCCAGCCCCTCGTGGGCACTCAGCCTCCCTCATGTGTTAAGTAATCTTGGCTGAGAGGTTACCCACAGGCATTTACATTTTCACAAATGACTCCTGAAGAGAAAACTCCTCCTGGCCCTCTTGCCAAAGAACAATCACAGTGGTAAGAATGTGAGTGGATCAGTCCTCAGGGGAAGCCAGGGATACTTTGATGTCTGTATTTTTAAAATGTTTAAGAAGTTTAGAATTACTGGAATTAATTAAGTGGGTCAGGTATGAGACTGCAGATTGCAGAAGTCCTCCTGAAAGCAAAGGCCTTGCCAATAAAGCAGCACCTAGCGGTTGCTGCTTCGCCTTCAGACACAGGTACATGGTGACCAGGTTATGCGCGTTCTCTGCAGAGCGCTGGGCTCTATAGGTCACCTTTGCCTGCTCTCAGGGCTGGCTACATAATTTGCAGAACCCAGTGCAAAGTGAAAATGCAGGGCCCCTGGTTCAAAAATTATGAAGAATTGTACGATGGTGGCCGCAGCGCAGTAAACCAAGTGCTGAGTCCCTCCAAGCGCGGGGCCGATGCGAAGCTGGCCCTGCCTGTTATGGACATACCAGGAACTGGACACTGGGATTTCCTCACCTTAAACCGATGAGTACGTCTAGTTAGGATGTGGAAAGGAATAGGAGACACTCTTGCAGTGTTCAGTAGAATACAAAAATATGATTTCCTATGTTTATTTTTTCTTCATTTAAGTGTAGCCCGGACGCCTCTGTGAATACCTGCCAAGGAGGAGACTTTCAGACACAAAGCCCCTGCTGGTCTCCTGTGCCCAGGAGTGGCTGCCAGTGGGAACAGACCTGGCGTCCTACACCTCGGGTTTCCTTTCTCTCTTGCTCCAGGGGAGCTGTAGGAGCGTGTGTGCGCTTCCAAGTCTGGAGGAGGACAGCGGCCTCTGGGTGGCTGCTTCTCTGCCCAGCAGACTCAAAGCCTCCCCACCCTGGCCGGTCCCCCGACTGCCCTGGGAGTGAAGTAGATGAGGTGAGTGAGTGAGTCTCAGCTTCCCCCCATCTTTGTTTTTAGAGTCATCCAACAGGGAGCGATGAGGGGACTCTATTGGCTCAGGCACTGGGGCCCTCCCAGCAAATGGCCCACAGTGGAAAATGCCCTGTGGGATGTTGCCGTTGGCTGCCCGGTGAAAAGCCCGTGGCCCTGGCAGCCGCCAGTCCCACAGTGTGAGCGAGGATAACGCAGATCAGCTGGGAGGGGGAATGTTTGAGTTTGAAAGCGCCAAGAATCCTGCACCGGCGGGGCTGGCCATCTGCATTTTCAAAAGACACTGGTACAAGCCTTAAAAACAAACCTTTAGACTCCTTATTCTGTGTCATGGAAGATCTTTTCTGATATGAGCAAGAAAATGATTTTTTTTTTTTTAAGAGACAGGGTCTTGCTCTGTTGTCCAGGCTGGAGTACAGTGGAATGATCATAGCTCACTACAGCCTCAAACTCCTGGGCTCAAGGGCTCCTCCTGCCTCAGCCTCCCAAGTAGCTGGTATTACAGGCACACACCACCACACTTGGATAATTTTTAAATTTTTTCGTAAAGACCAGGTCTTGCCATGTTGCCCAGGCTGGTCTTGAACTCCTGGCTTCAAGCAATCCTCCCACCTTGGCTTCCCAAAGTGCTGGGACTAACAGGTGTGAGCCACCTCACTCAGCCAGAAAATGATTTTTTGAAAACATAAATGGACATAATCTTTATCTAAAAAAACTAACTGGAAAACAGAGGAAATATTTATTAGTGATATTTTTATAGCACTGAAGAATCTGTTTCTCCCTTTTTATAGATATCTCTACAACAGCCTTAAGCATTGAGCCCATTACACAGATGAGTAAACAAAGCACAGTAAGCTAGAGATTTGCGAGTCAGATGGAGCCAGATAAGGACGGAGGCTGGTGCTGACTAGTCGTGGATAGTGACTCACCTCACTATCCACATCGGAACATCCTTCCAGAGCCGTCTGGAAGATGTTAAGATACTATATGTAAAAACCTACAAGCCCTTACAGGACAGCAGCAAATGCAAGGTGTGTGCTACCGTTTTATTGTCTTTACAGATAAGTCTGTCCCGACTCCGGTGAACCCACCAGAGACACAGGCTTGAGCACTGTGCTGGGAGAATGCCACGAGGGGACTATCCTCCGGTGTCCCAAGACTCCAAAACTAAACCCAGTGATTAAGAGATTTTTGGCCTTGAAAAATGCGGGAGTTTAAATCTTTTGGTGGGAATGTACAGCCCAAAGCCAGCACCCCGAGTGGCTCCAGGGTTTGCGGACCCTCTCAGGGCACTAATCCAGGTTCCCTTTCTACTTTGCCTGGGCCCTCCCAGCAGGCGGGAAGACCTCAGCAGCTGTTGGGATGTGGGGCTCAAGGTGGTCGGGGGATTAACGCATGTATCAGATTGCGTGGGATTTCCCCTCTTCGGTACCATTCTTCACCCTTATTAAGAAAGATCAGTAATGTTCCCGCCCCTCCTCCCATGCCAGTGTGTGCACTTTGGGTGCAGGGCCAGGGGGTCTTGTGTAGGGGTAGGGGAGGATAATGCTCCTAAGTCTGGAAACTGAACACTCCGCCTGGACCTCTTTGCGGAAGAGTGAGCGTCACACAGATGCAAGGGGGCAGTGAGGATGGGCTCCCCAAGCCGACGCAGTTTCAAAACACTCAACAGATTCAGTCCTCGCTCCCAAGCCGAGGCTCGGTGGGAGATGAAAGAGTTTTGTCCGAACACTTGGAACCGGATTCCTGTCCTTCCTGTCTCGTTAGGCGCCCGGCCGCCCTTGCACCAGCTGCTGAGGGTCCCCCAGGGCCACCCAGGCCGAGCCTGCAGCTGCCTTTCCTACAGGGGCCACAATGACCCTTCACCTGGAGCATGCTCTGACCCCCGGCAGCCCCCACACTTGACCCGAGGGGGCCTCCCAGCTTCGAGACAAATGACCGTCAACCCCAGCTCCCACCCCCCACACACATAGCTTCACCCCAAACTCACATGCAGAACACCTCGCGTCCCATCTGCCCGGCCAGGTCCCTCACCAGCCCGGGCTGCTCTGGAGCCTGGCTGGGCGCCGACTCCCGTGTGCACCAGGGACCCAGCAGGGCCGCTGTCGCCCTTCTGTCTTCCCTCTTCCACCGACTGGAAGCCTCAAGCCCAGAGCACTTGAGAGGAAATTGTCCAGACAATTACAGTGCTCTTTGACAGTGGCCTGCGTGGGCACACGGGCTATTTGGTTGGAAGGTAATTCGCCCGTGGACGAGATGAGGCCGCTCGGCAGAGGCAGACATTCAAGACCAACCAGAAATGTCATGTCTGCACTTTGGAAAAAGAGTACATGGTACCTCTGCACACGGTCATCTCCCTAAAACGCCCTCCAGTGACTCTCCGCGGCTGGCAGGATCAAGCCTTCTGTCCCCAGCCTGGTGCTGAAGGCTGTCACAGTCCGGCCAGCGCCTGCCCAAGCTCCCGGGCCTGTTGGCTGTTCACACTTACTTCCCTGCGTCCTCGTCCACGGCTTCCCCAACCAGCTGCCCAATCCCTGTCGATCACTAGAAACTCACAGCTCATCCCCTCCTGCTCCCTGACCACCCGGCCACAACAACTGTGTCCTCCTCTGAACTGTTCACCTGGCAGTTGTCTCCACCCCGCTTTGGACTTTTCTCCTGTTGAGCAACTCAGTGTCTCAACCTTCCGGCTGCCACGGGCCCTAGGTGCATGCTGGCCGATTCTGGTCAATGAATTTTGTTTTTTGCTAGAACTGCAGCGGTGGGAAGTCAGGTGATGTCTGCTGGGTGGAGCTGGGTGAGTCGAGGGGCACCATGTGGAACAGGGACAGTTTGCTACAAGCTGGAGATAAGAGACACAGCAAAGTGGGAATCCGGCACTGATGGAGGAAGGGGGCTTTCTCAAGAGATCCAAGACGTTTGCATCGAGGGCTGGGGAGAGGTCTGCTGGCAGTTAGGACAGCACCCGAGGGTGCAGGGAACCGGGCCATGCTAGCGTCGCCTCTAGCCCCTTCAGGTGTGCTGCGGGTGGTTCTGGAATTCAGAAGTGTGCTGAGAACACGCATTTCTAGCCCCTCCTCACTGATCCCATTGCAGCTGCTCAGGGCCTGGGCAGTGGCGTGTCATCCACGGCATGCGTCCGTCTGCGGGGCAAAAACGTCTCAGCGAGGGAACTGTGGTGCGGGCGGGTTCCCTGGGCGTGGACCGGAAGCCTGGTCCCCACGTCCCTGGTGATGGGATGGTGATGGAGGAGAGGGGGAGCATCTGGTGGCAGTGCCAGGCGCGCGGAGCAGGAGTTCAGGGTGTCTGTTAAATAGTGTCGATCGAGGGTTCGTCCACAGCCCACGTCTGCCAGCTTTCGTTGTCTCTTCTCTGGAAGTCACAGTCAGACGAAAACATCTTTGGTTCAGGGTCATTCATAGGCCCAGATCCTCTTATATTTAGAGGTTTCCCACCTCTAAACGTACCATTTCACTGTCTACACCAGGACACTTAAACAAAACCGCGACAGAATTTTACCTGACAGCACCCTTACCCCACTGGAGAATGTGCGCAGCCGAAATGAGGTTGTAATGAACCGACCTGGAGACAGGAGAACCGCCCTTGCTGAGCAGCAGTGCTGCGGGAATACTGGGGTGTGCTAGGGATACGAGCACAGGCAGTGAGATGCACCCACATTATCTATAATCCTATGCCAGAGTTTTCTTCTGAATTTTTAAAAAATAATTTTGCCTTTGGGATGATTTGGCCCAAGTGCTCCATGTAGCTCACGACTGGCTTCGATTTCCCGGCACTCGTGGGTTCTTGGGAAATCCTGCAGAGAGGGAAAACGTAAACTCCAAATTGTTTTAAAACATTATGATATGTTAAGGAACACTATATTTAACAATGAATGGACATAATGTTATGTTTTGTGGGCATTTCATTCAACCTTTATTAGTCTTGATTTTCTTTGGAACAATTCGTTCCTGTTCTGGGCTGAAGTATGAAAGTCCCAGGCCTGTGACCCTGGCTCCACCTGGATGAAACAGCTTTCCCTGGGCCAGAGGGCAAAGTCACAGGGACATTATGTGATTGAAATCTAAATATAAAGGTATCGATTTGTTTTTCGTTCATCAAATAGTTATTGAGCTGCAGTGTGTGTGAGCACCGGGGTACGTGGCGAGGGAGACAGATACCTCCCTGCCTCTCAGAGGGGGGCGGGCACAGGCGCACACAGCCAGCCCGGGCCGGGGGAAATTAGGGGGCCAGGAAGGCTAGTCTTGGGGGCTCCAGCCCTTCTCTCGCAAACCTCTCCGAGAGTGCACAGCACTCTCCCAACCAGGACCCTCCTCCTGGCTCCTCCCACCTGCCTTCCATGTCTGCCCTTGGATCTTATTTTAAATTCTAAAATGCTAAGGAGGTGTAAATGACTCATAGTAGCGTAGCATTTTGTCCCTCCCAGGTTTTGTTTTGTTTTGTTTTTGTTTCCAATTAGATAGATGGACAGACAGATGAATGGATGGGTAGATCAACTTTATTCTGATTGCAACTGTTATTTGAAGATTAATTCACTTTTCGATTCCTCATAGAGCCAGGCTGGGGTCTGACGCACATTGGGAAGTTGGGAGAAGTTTGTTGAATGAACAAATTAATGAAAGGAAGATTGTGTACGCGGAGAGGCCTGTGGTTCGGAGTTACTGTTTTGGGTCCCCCGTGATTTGAGCGATACACACACTGTCAACTTGAGTCTGCGGTTAGTGGACTCTCAGCTAACTTGCTGGGGTGAAGGTCATGACAGAACTTGACCTTGCTCAACTCGTCAACAGCACATCCTGTCAAAGTCACTAGGCTTCCAGGGAAACCTTTGTTCGAGGTTTCGTGTTACCTTTGCAGAGGTCTGGCTTAAGCAGATTCCTTGTATTAATAGTAACAATAGTAGCAATGGTACTGACACTGACGTGGGACTCATTGTGTGCTGGTCATCGTTTTAAGCACATTCCATATATTTACCGATTTAATCCTTAAAACAACCTTTGCTTTAGGTACTCCTATTAACCTCATTTTATGGATGGGAAAACAGAGACTACAGGAAGTTCAATAACTTGCCCAAGGTCATATAGCTGTAAATGGGAGAGGCAGGGTTTGAATCCAGGCCGGTTGGCCTTGCTGTCTGGGCTCATATCACCGCACTGTATCACATCTCCAAAATGAGCTGGCAGCCACAAGTTCTCCCCACCCCTTGCTACAGCCTCCCATCTCGGCATCAGCTACTTGCCTCATCCACCCCACGGCCAGGTGGTAGTGTTTCTGACTCGGGGTCTGCGTCCCTCTCAGCTGGGTCCAGAGGCCCTGAGGAGGGGGCCGGTCTAGTGCCGGCTTTTGCATCTCACAGTCCTCAGGCGAGTGTCAAAACCGAAGGGCTGCCCATGAGCACAGGGAAATCACTCACTTTCAAACCATGAGTCTGTCTGAGCAGGGGGCTGCCAGGCTGGGCCTTGGAAAGCTCTCAACCCTTCCTCTGGAGTCACAGGGTCTGTTTGTGTCCAGCGAAGTCTAGAGGTCACGTGAGGTCCAGAGAGCAAAGCCACTTCCTCCGAGGCCTCATTGGAGCCACACAGTGAAGGGAACAGGGTTTCTTCCCTGTCCACGGTGACTGGGGAGCACAGGTCAGCCTTGGAAAGGGGTCCTCCCTCTTTGGCTGAAAGAAGAGCGAGCTCAGGGATTGGGAAGGGTGTCGTCGTATGAGCTGACGGATGCAAAGTGTCTGGCTTGGTACCTTGTCCACTGTAGGCATCTCTGAAAGGAAGCTCTCATCACTCCGTTGAGGAGAGGGGTGTCGTGGGTGCCAGGTTGCTAAGGTGCTGGTTTGGGGGCTTGGGACCTTTTGGGTTCCTGGCACTGAGGATGGCATTGTCTGGGGCGGGGTCGTGTGGTGGAGGAGTGTCCTTCTCTGCCTGTTGGTGACTTGAGCAGGACCAGGAGCCAGGATGGGGAACCAGGACCAGGCCAATCACAGTAAATGAAGGAAACCAACCTCAGAGCCACCCTCGCCCTGTCTTGGGCCCAAGGGGACAGGGCCAGGTATGTATCCGTTACAGGAATGGGTAGTCTCGTTTCTTCACTGAGGAGGACTCGGGACTTATTGCCCCACCAGAGTGGAGGCGGCCGGGGGCCTAGACCATCCACTCTCAGACACGGTCTTGATTTAGAGCTGTGGTTCCCGGGCTGTCGTGACAAGAAGATGGTTTCGTAAGGAAAATTCCATGGCACTGCCTCAAAAACGAGGGTGGTAAGAAGAGGGTGAGACTCAGATTCTGCTTAGGCGTGAATGTCCGTTAGATTCTGGATTCGAAAGCCTCATATTCTTGGGTTTAAGCTTGTCCTTTCTGACCTAAAGAATGAATTGCAAATTCAGACTTTTTCACCAAGTAAACAGCCCTGACACTTGGCCAGTGCATGCGTGCTGCCCAAACTGGGAGGCCTGGGACAACAGACATTTATTCTATCACAGAGTCCAAAGTCACAGTGTCCTTGGGCCGTGCTCCCTCGGAGACTCCTCCTCGCCTCTTCCAAGCTTCCGTGTGGCCGCCATCCTTGGCGTTCCTTGGTTTGCAGCTGCATCGCTCCAGTCTCTGCCTCGTTCACCCCCCAGTGCTCCCGTGTGTTTCTCTCTTCACGTGGCTTCTCCTCTCGAAGGACACTCCTCACGTTAGATTAGGGCCCACCCCAATGACCTCATCTTGGCTGGATTACACCAGCAAAGACCCTATTTCCAAATAAGGTCACATTCACGGGTGCCAGGGGTTAGGGCTTCAACATATCTTTTGGGGGCAGAATTCAACCCCTAACAGTCGTATCTGTGGCTCACCGGTTACTACTGTTTCTATGACACGTAGTGAGACTGTGATTTTCATTAGGAGCAGAAAGATTTCATCTGTCACCAGTGACACCAGAATACAGGTTAGCCAGTAGAGCAAAGATGCTATACTGGTGATTGCAGCAGTCAAGTTCATTTCCAAACACAAAGCAAAAGCAAGGTGGCTGCCCTTGTTTTGTTTTCTGAAGCTGCTCCTTTCATTGCCTCTGGACACTCTCTCATCCTGAGATACGTGACAACGAAGTGACAATAAAGGTAAACCAAGTCACTTTCCAGAAACCACACAGCCTACTGTGGAGAACCTATTTACCATCAAATATGAATTAGGATATTTGCCCATTTCTTGAAATAATCCTTCATAAATAACTTGGTTAATAGTGCCTCATAGGCTACTTGAGAGTCAGAATTTGTTCAGTAAGGAAATTTCCAAATAGAGAATAGAAAGTTAATTGATGGGCAAACGTATTTAACAGGGAAGACTAGTGGGGAAATGAAGCAAATAGGTTCTTATTTATGCTTCCATTCTCAAAGGCTAGATATATCTTGGCTCAGGTTGCAGCTTCTTTGGTGCTGTCAGAGCATAAATGTGTTGGCTACGCTGGGCAGTTGGTCTGAAATGGGAAGTTTCTGAAATTCACACAGCACATTTGTGAAAGGCAACCTCACTTTTATTCACCAGCTGCCCATAATTTAGCTGACAAAAGTCTCAGCAACAGACATTTCAACATGGTCCTGTATTTGCT